TGGACAGGTCAATACTTTCGTGATACAATTTTGGTTCAGCACGTCTTTCCTTTTCTCAAAAATGAAGAAAACGTGTCATTGATGTGGATGAAGTGACGTTTGTTCACGATAAAGCCCCATGCATGAGAGCAAATATGACTCAGCAGTTGATCCAGGACAACAATATCAATTTTTGTGGTAATAATATGTGGCCAGGAAATTCACCTGATCTCAATGCAGCTGAGCGCATCGGATCAATACCGAAGGATGAAGTCGTGACAAGAATGTTATCTGACGCCAGAAATAATCGTCATCGTGAAGAAACATTGAAAAAGCACATCTGCGATGTCTTAGAAAATATGGAAACAAATACCGAGCTTTTACAAAATCTTTCATGCTCGTATCCATCTCGATTACAGGCTATCAGAAAAGCTAACGGTCGGCATACAGATTATTGATTATTTTCATTCATTATTGTACCAGGTTTATAAAAAAATAAACATTAGTTCGACGCATTTGTGATTCTTTAACAGTTTTCACTCAGAGTTTATCTTGGAAAAAACGTCTCAGTAATAGAAAATTCGTCAAATTTTCTGAAGCTCTACAGTTCTGTAGGTTGCTCCTCCTTTACAGAACAGTAAAATATACCCGTAGATCCCGTTTTTGACGGGCTTTCTTTTGGTATAAAATTCATTGTGTCTATCACTAGTCGTCAGGGCTGTACCCCTCTGGAAAAACATTTTTGGCAACCGAGTAGTCATTTTATGATGAATTACAATCTGATTGAAAAAAGATCTACTCGATGATGTCTGCAAGTTTCTGAAAACATTGGGAGAAGTGATCGTGGAACTGAGTGAGGAACAACGTCGTACAATTCAAAAAGTGATCCCACTCAGACAAACTTTAATAAATTTATGTGTAATGAAAACGAATGATTCTATTAGTATCAATGAACTCAAGATTTTTCTAGGTAAGAAAACATCAAATTAAACTCTTCTTGAATTTGTATATTAGATACATTTAAAGTTTTCTTTTAATACGTTCTGTCTTGTCATGCATTTTTGTTTATGTAATTGTAGCTCGTCGTTTAAATAATACTTGGCCAATAACAGATGAGCATCGATTGGCAACTATTTACAATCCAAAATTTAGAAAGTTCGAATGCTCTTCTAATGAAAAAGAAACGGCTATCAATGTATTAAAATGGAAATTTCAAAAGCATCATGCTACTATTTCTTCTTCTTGTACAAATCCATTAGCCTCTAAGCATGTTGTTCCTCTATCTTCTTCATCCAATACAGCACCAAAACCGAAAAATCTTCTCTCTCAATGTTTCGATACGAAAGTCAAAGCACTTGGTGAACGATCAAATCCATTTCAAGAAATTGATGATTATTTTAATTATGAGTTTGATGAAAGTTTTTACCTTTATGATAACAGTGATGATACTGATGTCTTGTTATTTTGGAAAAACCACCAGCATGTATTTCCAATTTTGTCATTATTAGCTAAAGAGATATTTGCCATCCCAGCATCAAATACTATCGTTGAACGACTGTTTTCATCATCAAAAAATGTTGTAACTGAAAAACGAACACGTTTGGGTGCTAGTAAGATAAATGAATTATTATTTTTACGAAAGAATCTAAATACTTTGAAACAACTTATCAACAATAGTAACCGAAAACGAACATTATCCATGTCATCAACAATTACAACATCTTCTGATGATTCTTCAGCTAAACAACAACGACTTGATACTGATGAAAGCTTAATTGATTGCGACAACATGAAAGTTTTTTCGGATTAGCTGTTCTATTCTTTTCCCACTATGTTGTAAAAGATCAATGTTATTATTACTTGTAATTATGAAATACAGATAGTAAATTTATGTTTCTTATTTAATTTATGAAATAAAAATGCTTGTCTTTTTTACTGTTACAACTCCAAAACTAACTCCAAAAAATTTCTCTATTTTCTTTCCAACTCCAACTTCACAAAGTTTCCATTTTATTACTCCACTTCCAACTCCACGTCCATGGAGTTGGAGTCGGAAATAGAGTTGGAGTCGGAAATGGAGTTCGGACTGCAGTGCAGTACACTAATGCCATCTTGTCGACTTTCAGCTCCAGCTGTTCCCATCGGAGGAGTCCTCCCCATTTGCGCTGACGGTTGCGAAGAGCCACCATTGTATTTACGACAGAAACAAAAACAGACAACCAAACTGCTTATTATAAAAGCCAAAAGACCAAATATGGAATAAACTTTTGAAATTAATCTCTCGAATTCAGAGGGTTCACCGGCAGACATCTGTAACTGTAATCAATTGATCAACTAAACATTTATATCTATAGAAATAATATATTGTCTATATCTTAATCTTTGGATGAGGGTGTTGATGCTGGATGAAATCGAAAGGGGTGTCTAAGCATGAGTAATGGGTGAAATCGAAAGTGATTTCTGAAGGTAGGTGGTCAGTGGACTCTAGACGAGGGTGATCAATGAGCCCTACGCCAACCTTGGTTGTTTTAGGTGTTTTTTTTAGTAAAAACCCGAAGCCTGTGTACTTGCACTGTTATTTACATGATGATATGCGTGGATTATATAAAACATTTATTTTGTGCTTCTGATTTGGAAGAGAAGAGGAGAGCACTTGATTGACGAATTTTTAGTATCAGTTTTGGTTGATAAACACTTAATGAAATAGATGAAAGATATCCGACTCATTTCTTTGTATATAAAGGTGCTAGATCAATTCATCTTACTACTAAGACGCGTGGAAATTACCTGTGCTTCATAGTCGAGGGTTAAGGGAGTCGTTGCAACGAGCGTTACTTGTATATACTTAGTATCCTTCATTTTTTGCGGACAAATTTCGAAGTACAAAAAGTGTGCAAGAAAGTGAAACTACGATTCTTATATAAAGCACATTTTCTGCTAATCGCAAGAAAGAAAAAGTGTTATTTTTGTTGCTCTAACACGTGGGCATCGCTACAAGTGATTATTTGAGGGTGAGGATAATATGAGCACATTCTCACCCAAACCCACACCCACCCCTAGCTTCACACTGGTGGAAACATTCACATTGTTCTGTTTCGAAATGGAATATTTACTTTGCATTTTTAAGGTTTTTTTTCTTCGTTCTCTTTTTATGTTGATTTTTGTACATTTCGATTCAAAGAGAAAATGTTTGACGACGAAAATATTACAATTCAGTGTGTTTCATTTTGGTGAGTTGCTTTGTTGAAGAATTTGAAGGAAAACAAATAAAATTATTCAAAATTTTAATGTTTTAAAAATACATATTTTTCGTAATATCACACATTGCAAATAGGACATATTTTCAAAGAAAGTTGAGGTAAAAAGTCGATACTCGTCTAAATGAGAACAGTTTCAAATTGATGTGATATCCTCTTTCGGTTATCGCGTTTCATCGAAGGGTGTATGTCAGAAGACTATTCAAGTTTATACTTTACAGTATACTCTTTAAGAATTGAAAGATATTTCCTACAATCAGCAATTGATACATATCTGATCGAGAATAAATTCCTTTTTATTATCAATTTTAGATTGATTTTAAATAAATGGTCGACTCTAATGATAATGTGGGTATAATTATTCTTGGTAACAATAATAGTGAGAAAAGTTTTCTTGGAAATGTTATTTTAAAAAGAGAACTACTACAACATAAATATCAAGAATTATCATTTCTTGGACAATCATATATAGTGTACAATATTCCAAGTCTTATCGAAGCTGAACAAGAACGTATTGATTTAAATAAACGTGAAATTTATACTTTTTTTCAGCAACATCCAAGATCGATTGTGCTCTTTGTTTTTGGTATAAATAATGAATCTATAAGACACGAAGATATTGTGGCATTTACTGTACTTAATCAAGAGTTGTTATTAATGATGAAAATCCGAAACAATCGATGGACTATGAAAATAGAATAATAACAATGCTAAGTAATGTGTTGAAAATGCATTTGCCTCATTTATGTTTTGTTCATTGGATAAATAAACCTGATGAAAAAGAGTTGTTACGTCAAAAAATATTGGAAAAAATTATCAGTACCATGTCAGAGATTGATGAGAAAAAGAAAGAAATCAATCTTCAACTTGTTGAAATATCAAAACTAAGAAAACAAATTGAACAAGATAAAGTCAACAAAATACTGAAATAGATTCATCAGAAAAAAGAAGTTGGAAAAAGTACAATGCTAATCAGGTGAAGAAAAACAAAGTAAGAATTTTGACATTTTACTGATTGGAAATAACTTTGATTTTTCTTTAGAAATTCAATATAATAAATGGAAAGAAAATGGAATAATTGTAGCAGGAGGAAATGGACAAGGAAACGGAACTAATCAATTGAATTTTCTAATAGATATGATTGTTGATGATAAACAATCGATTTACGTATTGGATTTAAGGAATAATCGTATAATGAAATGGATAAAAGATTCAAATGAAGGCAGAGATGCGCAAATACAAATACAAATTGTACTGAACTGTTTCTATGTATTTATTTACGATACATGCTATTCAGTTTCTGTGTATTCCAGTTGCATCATCTTCTTTACAGCTGTGTGTATTTATTAACTCATCTATGTATTCGGCCATCTATAACACAATTATTCTTCATGTACTCTGATGTACTGTCATGTATTCACATGTATTGAACATACTTTGGGTCTGGAAAATCTAGAATCGGTCAGCTTGTATTCTGCTCTATGGTCATGTATTGTCATGTATTTACATGTATTGAACATACTTTGGGTCTGAAAAACCTAGAATGGGTCAGCTTGTATTCTGATCTATAGTCATGTATTCACATGTATTGAACATACTTTGGATTTGTAAAACTTAGAACAAGTCAACCTCTTTCCGTATATTCGACAACAAAGCAACCTTCCATTTCGAAAAATCTGCGAAAGTTCCTTCTTAAATTCTACTCAATTTAATTTTCTATTCGCCTCTTTTTCTCATCATTCCGCCGTGCATATTCTATTGTCAGTATCAGTATTAAAACTCTAACTTCAAGTCTTCAATCTAACTTTCAACAATGTATTTTGAATCATCTCTTCTGTACAAACAGTTTCCTCGATAATCAATAAGTCCTTTCAATATTTTCTTTTTACCCTCTTGCTCGATCCAGATCAGGATACAATTCGTATAAGGATCATATTATATTTATTTTTTATCCTCTTGCTCGATCTAGATGAGGATGTTGTTCGTATCATGGTCATATAATTGTTGTTTTTCGTGAGTGAAAGGATGTGATTATTTCTCTCTCACTCACACATGCAACCTCAAGTCGACAAACTACATGACTACAGATTAGAATATCAACCGATCGATTCTAGATTTTACAAACCCAAAGGGTATGCTCAATACATATGGATATACAAGACTACATGACTATAGATCAGAATACAAGCTGACCGATTCTAGGNGCCGTTTCCTTTTCATTAGAAGAGCATTTGAACTTTCTAAATTTTGGATGTAAAATAGTTGCCAATCGATGCTCATCTGTTATTTACATGATGATATGAGTGGATTATATAAAACATTTATTTTGTGCTTCTGATTTGGAAGAGAAGAGGAGGGCACTTGATTGACGCGTTTTTAGTAGCAGTTTTGGTTGATAAACACTTAATGAAATAGGTGAAAGATATCCGACTCATTTCTTCGTATGTAAAGGTGCTAGATCAATTCATCTTACTACTACGACGCGCGGAAATTATCTGTCCTTCACAGTCGAGAGTTAAGGGAGTCGCTGCAACGAGCGTTACTTGTATATACTTAGTATCCTTCATTTTTTGCGGACAAGTTTCGAAGCACAAAAAGTGTGCAAGAAAGTGAAACTGTGCTAATCGCAAGAAAGAAAAAGTGTTATTTTTGTTGCTCTAACACGTGGGCATCGCTACAAGTGATTATTTGAGGGGTGAGATTGTGTGTGTGAGGGTGTGAGAGTGAGGATAATACGAACACATTCTCACCCAAACCCACACCCATCCCTAGCTTCGCACTGGTGGAAACATTTACATTGTTCTGTTTCGAAATGAAATATTTACTTTGCATTTTTAACGTTTTTTTCTTTGTTCTCTTTTTATGTTGATTTTGTACATTTCAATTCAAAGAGAAAAAGTTCGACGACGAAAATATTACAATTCAGTGTGTTTCATTTTCGTGAGTTGCTTTATTGAAGAATTTGAAGGAAAGAAAATAAAGTTATTCAAAATTTTGATATTTTAAAAATACATATTTTCTCGGAATATCACACATTGCAACATAGGATATATTCTCAAAGAAACTTGACATAAAAAGTCGATACTCGTCTAAATGAAAATAGTTTCAAATTGATAGGACATCCTTTTTCGGTTATCGAGTATTATCGAAGAGTGTACGTCAGAAGACCATTCAAATCTATACTTCACAGCATACTCTTTAAGAATGGAAAGATATTCTCTACAATCATCAATTGAAACACATCTGATCGAGAATAAATTCCCTTTTATTATCAATTATACATTAATTTTAAATACATGGTCGACTCTAATGATGATGTGGGTATAATTATTCTTGGCAAAAATAATAGTGAGAAAAGTTTTATTGGAAATGTTATTTCAAAAAGAGAACTATTTCAATGTAAATATCAAGAATTATCATTCCTTAGACAATCATATATAGTGTACAATATTCCAAGTCTTATCGAAGCTGAACAAGAATGTATTGATTTAAATAAACGTGGAATTGATACTTTTTTCAGCAACATCCAAGACCGATTGTGCTCTTTGTTTTTGGTATAAATAATGAATCTATAAGACACGAAGATATTTTGGCGTTTACTGTACTTAATCAAGAGTTGTTATTAATGATGAAAATCCGAAACAATCGATGGACTATGAAAATAGAATAATAACAATGCTAAGTAATGTGTTGAAAATGCATTTGCCTCATTTATGTTTTGTTCATCCAATAAATAAACCTGATGAAAAACAGTTGTTACGTCGAAAACTAATCGAAAAAATTATCAGCGTCATGCCAAACATTGATGAGAAAAAGNTGACCGATTCTAGGTTTTTCAGACCCAAAGTATGTTCAATACATGTAAATACATGACAATACATGACCATAGAGCAGAATACAAGCTGACCGATTCTAGGTTTTCCAGACCCAAAGTATGCTCAGTACATGTGAATACATGGCAATACATGACTATAGATCAGAATACAAGCTGACCGATTCTAGGTTTTTCAGACCCAAAGTATGTTCAATACATGTGAATACATGACCATAGATCAGAATACAAGCTGACCGATTCTAGGTTTTCCAGACCCAAAGTATGTTCAATACATGTGAATACATGACAATACATGACTATAGATCAGAATACAAGCTGACCGATTCCAAATGACGTAGGAAGCAGAGTACAATTTGTACTCGTATTTGCGCAGCCCTCAATGAAGGAATAGATGTTGCTGGTGGAAATGGAAAAGGTGATGAACTTAATCAATTGAATGGTTCTCAAGGAATAATTATTGATGATTTTGGACATATTTATGTGATAGATGGAGAAAATGATGGAATCATGTGCTGGTAGAAATGGAAGAAAAAATCATCGAATTGAAAGATTTGATTCAGTTTATGTATAAAAAATCGTTTTCTTAAACACATTAGACCCAATGGGATCCACCGATGAGTCCCACAGTTTTTAAACAAGAAACTCAATAGAAAATGCTTCTTTTCATTTTTGTTCTTAGGTAGAGACCACACATCATGTATCATTACTTCTACCTTCGATACTATTTGATCATTTATTGAACAGTGTGATGCTTTTCATTGAAACAATTACGATAGAAGATTTCCTACTTTCTTTGCAGCTGCATGATCGGCTTTTCTCAATTGTTGTTGTTGGCTAATTTTCTAATAGCAGCCAGCACAGCGTCTTCGAACATCGCGAGTATGTGATCAGTGAGTTGAAGCGTCGTTTGGTCTATTGGTTTGCGTTTCGGACCCGATTTTAGCATCTGAAATGGAATGCCAAGCAGTAAAGACCGAACAAGACTTTCACAAAAGTGCAGAATGATCACTTTGCTCTCCGTGTAGTTTGCCTTGAATATCAAATAGCTATTTACTAGTGCTGTCCCAAAAATCAATTCAAATGCCACCTTGCGATACTATTTGATTGTTTTCATGATGTGTTCATTTTGAAAAGATGTTTCTCCACTATCAACCACATTTGCAGAATATGATGGTCTGGTAGATATCATTAAGACATTCCCGTTTATCTTTTTACATGATCAATTTTATTCCATCTTTATTTTCAAGGCCAAAAAACTCACCATAGAAAGTTTCAATAAGTGTTTGACAAGGAAATGCTTGTTTTTCTATGATAAAGAAGTAATTATTTCGACAATAAGTTCTTTTCTTTAAATTCATATGCGGCGCACTAAATCCAAGATATCATTTTCGAACATATATCGTTGTACTCTTGACGCAATGAATCAATATTCTGATGAACACTGTTGGAATGTCTTAAAAATGTATTTTTGAAGAATGTTTATGAACTTTATTTGTATGAAACAAACAAGTAAACATATTGTCCGTTCAAGACAAGAGAGAATAACTTTTGAAACACTCTGCGTCTGTTCTTAGTTGTCAACAAATAATTGAATGTGATAAATTATTTATACTATTCTCTTAGACATTTTTCCTTCCTCGCACACAAACAATCACGTGAACATAGATAAGTTTATACTTTTCATATAAAATACTAACAGAATTTTCTATATTCGTATCGCGACGGTGTTTATAGGAGCAATAATACGCTGTTGACATGGTAGTTGCAATATTTTTTTCATTTTTCCTCTCAGCTCTGGTAATGCTCCAATCGAGACTATCGGGAATAAAAACATCATATAATAAATCCCATTGACTGCTACTTTTGTAAATGATGCTCCAATATATGATGGGATTCCACAGAATTGAAGAAAATCCACAAAGAAATAAGGAAATGTTAAAATAAGATAAATAAATGAGATTGATAACACTTGAATTGTCATTTTTCGATTTTGACGCCAATTGATGTGTCCATGAATATGATATTTTTGCCATAGAATACGAAACAATAAAGCAAAACTAAAAATAACAATAGAAAGTGTTGGAAATATTGAATGAACAATATTATCATATAAAGCAAGTTTCTCATTTTCAAATGCACATGGATAAATTATTGTTTGACTTGGATCGCCGTATCCATTGTTACATTGCACGACAAAAAATACTACTATATAGAATAAACAACAATAAATAGTTATAATAAATGGAGGAAAATAATGAAGACAAATTCGTTCCATCTTAGTTCCAAATAAATGACTATGAAAAATAAGAATATGTCTTTCGATTGTTGTCCAAGTGTATAACATTGAATGAAGAACAAATAATGTCCAATCAATATATAACCAAAAAAAACGAAGTGTTAACGATGATGAAAATGATTTAAAAGTACGAAAATAATGCATTTGTAAAGGAATATCAGTACATTGAATAAGAAGAGTAAGAATGAGAAGAATAATTATAATATGATTATTGAGTAATTGACGAAGTATTCGATCGGAAAGAAGATAATATAAAGCAAAGAATGAACAAATTATTGATGGAATAACTAATATAATAAAGATACAGAATTGTATCAAATACAATTGTTCAATAAAATTGTCTAATGATGACGATTGATCGCTGGAACTATTATCTGCGTTTTCCATCACTCTAGAAGAATCACATATAACTGTAGTATATATTTAGAGATATCGAACACTGATGTCTCGTATATTTTAGTTTTCTTGAAGAAACTTATGAGAAATCTGTTTTCAATGAGAAAATACTTAAGATAATGCTTTATAAGTTTTTACCGTGTCATCTCTATTCAATTAATATTGTAATAATAAAATTCTGATGAGATGTTTTTATAACCTTAGTCGTCAGTTGAGATGAGTTTTATAATTATACTCTACATCTCAATTGTAAATTAAATTTGAAGCAAAAACACTCCTTACCAGACTTTTATAATTACGATATTAGTTGAATAGAAATGAAGCATAGATAAGAACAGAGGATATCGTTTATTCTATAGTCTTGTAAAGAAAGATTATCAGATATTAAAATTGAATAGCTGCAAGTATACTTGTTCCAGGTGATAAGATTAACGTCATCATTTTGACTGACAAGATTTTTATGCAAGAAAAAAAACGTGAAATAATAATCTAAGTATAAAGATGAAAGAATCTTCTTGTTTTCAATATTTCGTATATCATCATCATACTAAATAAATCGTCTCAAAACAGATATTTTTCTATTTAACATCATCTCGATAAAGAAAAACTCCTAAGTAATTCAAATATCATTTTTGCTGTAACAATAAAATGTGTCAAAATGAGACTGTAGTTTTATATTAGTACACAAAGACGAATGCTTTGTGAATTATTTTTTCATATATATTACATTAGATTGCAGTTTATTGATGAAAACGCAATATTATTCAGATGCATCGAATAGAACTCTTTTTCTTTTTCAAAAAAAAAACTTGTTGACACAGTAATAACGAGGTAGACAAAATCTAAAAAGGTAATTAAAATTGTGGCAACAGAAATGATTATAAGATTTTTTTCTTTCTTTTGTCTTTATGTTCTGCCAGACATTTGTTTTTAAGGTATATCTCCTCCGTATTAACCTTTTTTCTTTTCTTTTAATTTCTTGATTAATGTTTATGTCATACAAAAGGACAAGCTTATCATCGTCTAAAATATTCATTAGTTGAGTTTATTCATTGCTTCTGACAGAGTTTTCGAAGATAACGATTTTTATCAAAGGCGTGTTAATATTGATAGCATAATGCTCTCCTCTAATTCTACTATTTAGAAATCGCATTGTTTTATTAACTGGCTAGTGCAATTTACAATATAATACTAATATTTATACTGGATAGAGATGAAATGAGAGAAACTATTCGTGTCGAATCGATTTTTGTGAACATAGACATGATAATGTACTTGGATATTGAAGAGAAAGTCGTTCAAAGATAATATGTGAGAAGTTGAATGAGTAATAACAGATGGTATTTGAAGAATTATTGTATAAAAAAGAAACAATCGTGCCGCCAATAACTGATTGAAGAGATTCATTTTACTAAAGTGTAATATTGTATTCGTCGAAAAAATATGTCAAGATAATATAAAAAGAAATAAAAAAAGACATTTAATTTATATATAAGATAACGAAAAATATACGAACTTGATTGGAAATTTCTCCAACTTTTTTCCTCTTTAAGTACTTGTCGTTTTATTCGAGTTTTAAAATCAATTAGTTGAGATATTTCCACTTGTAATGGTATCATAACTTTTATTTAGAAAAATACAACAGCTTTCAAGTATATTTCATCGATATCTGTAATGAATATATCGAGGGTAGACGTGCATCAAACTCAAAACCCAAACTATTTGCGAGTTTAGGTGTGTATATCGAGTTTGGATTTAGTTTTCTTTGTTAATGCAAGGTTATATTGATACAGATTTACACTGATACATAAAATTTTCTATGATATTATTCAATCTATAAATTGGTAACTTATCTATGACATATACGTGTTAGGAGATACTGTCAACATGTTTCCATGTCATCAATGATATCTTTGGTA